TATTTATTTTAATAATTTACTAGCGATAAATTATAATCAATGCGCTATTGTTGTAGGAGTGGCCCGGCCACCCACAACTATAGATAATAAATAATAATCGAATAGGACGAAGAAGCGGATATAACCACTTCTCGACTACCTTACATAAGACATGTGCTGCTGGTAGTGAAAGAAATGTTTACCACTCAAACAATATATATTCGTACTTTGTGAATGACACAATATTCTATATTTAGTGAAAATCGCATGCAAAAATGTTGTAATCATTGACGTTAATTTAGAGAGAGCAATGCGTGTATGCATTTACGTGTAATATCTAAACGTATATAATATTATGGTAATACAAGGCATTAAGGCGTATGCACTATATGCAGTCATGCAAAAATATATAAACGCTTCGGCCGTCAAAACTATCAAATATTTATTTACAGTAATTTATGAAAAAAGGAAACCATGAAACGATTTTAACTTCTCTCATATACATTGTATAAGTTATTCTGGTTACCGCGGCAGGAATATCGGGATGCTAAAATATATTCATAAACTTCACTAATACTGATACAGCGCATCATAAAATATGACCCTAARACTTATAATCGATACACATAGAGTCTTTAACTTGGAGTACAATTACAAATGATAACGAACAAATAAGAATAACACAAAATCGACAAAAACAGAATCCAATGTTTGGCATGTAATAAAAAACAATTGGTTGTCCTTGGAACTCTCTAGTCGAACTATTGCAATATATACACACACGCGTGTCTCCCTGATGGACTAGGAACAATAATAATCTTAGCTAGCTCAGTTGTAGCAATTTTTTTTACACATAAATACCTTATTGCAAAACTAATAATCACTGCAGCTATATACAGTGTACAATATATTAAAATATTTGTCATTGAGTAGATATTGATCAACGGATCAGTCGTCCATTAATATTTGTATATCAGTTACCTACAAAAAACTTTTATTATCATTCATCATTCATTCATATAATATTATACACTTTGGTTCGAGTATATTTTAAGTATTATATAATATTATGATAAACGTTTTAAAAACCCTACATAGCTACACAATAATAGTGCTATTTATGTCTGTATAAATTGCAATTTCTAACCTTATACCTAGGGCTGTTATAAAGTATAAGTTATACCTATCTCACTGTCTCTCACAAAAAATAAAATATATTATACACCTATATTGAGGATTAATGAAAGAAAGAAAGGTTCTATCCTAAGCTTCATAACTCAATATTTATTATTGGTTGGCCATTGAATTGAGGATTAAGAATTAATATAGAATTAACAAATCGTGTAAATCGTAACTAAAATGTAATCTATATTTTATAATGTATAAAATCAAACCATTTTGATAGTGTTATACCCATTATATTTTGTTCTTCTTTTATTAGACAAGAATACGGAAATAGRGAGAGAAGTAAGTACCTATGGGAGTACATTTAAACATATTATATACACACAGAATGACGTAACCTTGTAAATTTTCATAGCAATTATTTKTTATAATCTATATRTCTATTATAAACTATATTAAAGAACTAATGAATCGAAATCATGTACTTTAGTTATAAGTCAATCTCATTCGATAAAAATTACATCATAATATATATAGTTTCTGGTTTATAATATAGAATAATAAATATATTTGCAATTTACTAATTTATGTAATATCGGATTCAAACCTTTAATTATTATTATATATTTGTATATATGTAATAGGTGTATGTATAGTAGTTACAAATAAAATAGTAATAATTGCGCAACATTTTATATGAACGTAACACAATATATATTATAATATATAATATAATATTTATATGTTAGATTTTCAAATTTCAAATAAGGTTTTAATGTTAAAAGTGTAGGTACTARGTATATAAAGCGTGCTACAATTCGCACAATGAAATATTTATAATAATTAAATGCTGGGCGAAGGTCTATTAATCTARTTCTAGTCTACATCTACTAAACCATATGCAGCGTATCCATATTATATTTTTGGAATATGGATATATTATAATATACAACAATATTTCATGGTTGACGCGCGTCCATATGAATAATCATTATTCATTAAAGTTAAACSCACGTCCACGTGACCTAGCCTTATACGCGAAACAATTTTCGGGAGTCCAAGATGTTATATCCATTCRAACAATCGAATAATAAATACATTTTTTTTAACTAAAATGTTAAAAAAATTTGACGGTCTGTGCAACATAACACATATATTATGATATTATACAAGTTCAAAACGGCACGTTAGCATTAGCATTTGATTTGTTTAGACAAAAAGAGTTAAAACATCACTACTAAATGTGTCTATATTATAAACATTACACATTGACATTATACATTAATGAAACAGTTATACAAAATGTTATTCGACGCTATGGAATCAGTATAATAGAAAACTATATAGAGATAATTTTATTTTTCTTAGTTTAACCCCAAACTTATATTAATAAAATAGAATTAAGAATTAAGATAATATATACGCAGGGCTATTCAATATGTAAATGATATACAACTATGAACGTGCTAATTTATCTGATCGCATATAATTATATCTTAATAAATTATAGTTATAGATGGGTTTTTAGATTTTCAATATTACCAAACAACCAAACAATATTTRGGTTAGGTTATAGTAAGTAACTTTTAATACTGATATACATTTATACTTATATAATTATACCCATGCGTTAGGATAAGAAAAAATTATATATTTCTTACATTTTGGCGACTGTAATAAGTAAGGTTTAATATCGTTTAGATATTAATTAATAATATCAATATATTTTAAATTTCAAATAGTGACCATATAAAATTATGTATCAGATAATTAAAAAATATTTTTGAGTTTAACAGTACCTATAACAATAGCATTGTCCTAATTATTATCTTTGAAATAAAACGATTTCTGTAATTATTCAGATTAAAAAAGAGTAGTACTTAGAAAATCAAAATACATGTAGCTATGTTAGGCAAGTACAATTAAATTTAATACTTTTTCTTTTATGGATTAATATGTGAAAAGCTTTGGCACCTGGTGTTAAAAAACACTCATGACATACCTGTATGATATAAATTTGCGTTTCGTTAATTGTTAATTTGAAATAATAACCTACAATAGTACAATGCACAATATTTTAATATGATAACTCTGCAATAGACATTATTATATTGAATGACAAACGAATAATTGAAATTAAAATGTATGAAATCGTATTCGTTTTTACGTTAGAATTCACCCTATCCAATCATCTATATCATAATTTTATGTTACCAATATACTGGCGATAYTGTTTAAATAGGCGCACTTAGTTTTTTTAACCTTCAGTTGTTTTGTATATACATTGTAAACGAATAAATCGTAATAAGAAAGAACCTAATCTAACCAGAAGTTTCATATCAGTTAATTGTCGTTAGATTATTTTATGCACGTGACTAGTATTTTTTAAATTATTTTGTTTAGGATTATCATTTGAAGTTATAGCGTTTCTAATGAAAAACGTATCTTTAAGAATAAACTTATTGTAATTATATAATTAGTGGTAAATAAATTAGAAGTGTATATCTACCGAATAAAAATAACTAACGATATTTTAACGCAATTTATTAAAAATAAAATATGATTAATAAAATACACATAGAAAGACATAAGTAAAGAAARACTCAATCTTTAAATGTTAAAATATTTTTACTCTGATTATGTTTTTTAAATCTATCAATTCTACTTGCTATCGAAGATTCGATGCAGTACTCAGATACTAGACGAAGAAATTATTTTAGAAAATACAAAAATAAGTATTACCAAAGAATAATATACAAAACTAAAACATTTCGACCTCGTTAAGGTCATAGACACCACTTGGAACAAGAAACTCATCAAGGTCCTCTAGTTTTTTACCCGTGTGTTCCGTTTTAATGTATGTGAACAATTTCCTGTTGATATACATATATATATATATAGTCATTTAGGTGACATATATATTTTAAATATACGCAAAATCTTAAAAATTTACATTTTCTTATCATTGATGATGAATATATGATGCATTATATGGCTATAATATGTATATGTAAATATTATTATATTATTATCATTATCATTATCATTATTATACCTATATTTAAAAAAAATATGACAGCCGTGAGTCACCATGACTTGTATGTAATTATTTTTAAAGTTAAAAATTCAGTAATTAAAGGTTATAAAGAGTTGAGGAATTAAGGTATAATTATCGAATCCGAAGCATATAMAAATCTCAATATTGTCTTTATATTTCTATTTAGTTAAACCCTAGGGATCAGTGATAATTGAGTAAGCTTAAAAATACTCATTTTTATATAATAAGAAAATTTGCATTGTGGAAACTATAATTTCAAATTTGAACTGAAATATTTTTTATCAAGCTTGTATGATATATTACAAATCCTATRTATATTAAAATTGCTATTAACTTAATATTTTAATCGATAAAATATTAGTGGAGACGAGACAGAAACTTGATGTGCCGTTAGATTAAACACCAGTTCAACAATATCAGTTTCGTACTAAATATTTAAATACCCAACYAAACTTTATTGACGAATATTGTGTGTTAAAATACAATAGGTACTTTAAAATATACTGTGTAATATGTATAGTTAAACAATTGTAAAACTACAATAATAGTTAATAAAAATAATAATATTATTATTTTATTTAAATGGCTTTTAATCAAATTATTTAAACTATATCCGGTACTGAAAAATGTAAATTTGTATTTTCTGAACTACCTATATCTAAACTACAATTATTTGTATTCTCTATCTTTATTTTTTGTTTAAGATAAATGTACTCAATTATTTTTTCAGTTACTTTGTATATTACATGTAATACATATCTAAGTAACCATTAGAATAAACTACAAATAGCCGAGTCCGTATATTCTCTAATACATAAATATAACGATTTTTTTTAAGGAGTCATTCAAATATCTTACCAAAGGCGGCTGATTCTAGTGATCTAAGCTCACAACAGTTGCCGGTCCCGATCGTCGTTTCCTATTTCGATGGGTTGAGACGAACTCTGACGAGTTTCCAGAGCCTGAAAAACTATCTATATTAGTTGGTTCAAAGGCCGAAGGAGACATAATATATTGGAGATTTTTTGAAGAAGGAAAATTAACTTATTCTAGTCAAATCGCAAGGTTTGAACTTAAGCCAAATTTTAAAAATTTGGCAACCGAATATAATTTGATTACTCGAAGAATTTGACTTTCTTTCTACCATAGATACAGAAATGTTGAAAGTAGTAGGAGCATCATGGGCTCAGACGCAACTGTCGTGGTGTTTGATTATTGCAATCACTTTGTTGGGTTTGCTAGCATTTTACTTTGGAGGAACGATCAGGTAAAAATTTGATACTTATCAACTGTTTCATAATTATCCGACTATTATTGCGTGTTTATTTAGAAACGAATATGATGGTAAATATGCYGCAACAGCGTTTTGGAGCAAAGAATTTGGAATGAGAATTGATTTCTGTGGTCAAAATAACGACCCGCTTAAAGTTAGAAAAGGAGTGGCAAGAGCTTATTATAGACCGGATTTATCTGAAAATGGGTAACAAAAAATTCAACATTTATATTATTAAGAACTCGATATTTTATATAATTATATTTAGATGGGCAGTTTTAGAAGTGGAGACTCAGGCGGAATACCCGGACTACGTACAAGCTAAGGCTGCTGGATATTTGGAAGGAAGTTTGACGTGGCGGATGATTTATTGGCACTGGAAGAACACAGTGGAAAACACATGTATCGGGAGAAAGAACTTTTGTGAACGTATAAGAAAGTATTTAGAAGAAAATGCTGAAGAAATCAAACGAACGGCAAAACGACGAGGCGAATCAGACCCGTTTTGGCACCAAGTAATTTAAAAATATTTTCAAAATTGTTTCGAAAAAAATATTAAACCTATATTTACGTCTGTCTAGGTTGATATGTTTTACATGCAATTAAAAGCATTGGAGGATGGTTGGCGATTTGGCGTAAAAAGAAGCAGACAAGACATTGACATACCATCTGTAGACTTTTTGTAAGTCAATTATTTTATTTTTAATAATTTCAAACTAAGAGCTTTTTTTCCAATAATATCATACCTAAATTCATATTTACTAAGGGTATTAAGGGTATACAGATAAAACTTGACATGCATTTTATAATGTATTTTAATACTTCATACGTGTTACAATAGCATTCAAATAATTTTATTTCTGTACATTAATATTTAGACATAATGGAATTTTTAGCTTTGCTGTTCGAAATATTTCAACGTGATATACTGATTTACTTAATCACAATGTTAAAAATGATAATGCAGTTTGACATATTATCCCATTATTACCAAATTTAATATTGTATTATCAAGACAATGTTAATAATTCTAAGTGCACGTAAAAAATACAATAAATTGTTCTCAGATGGATGAACATCATGCCAGATTTAAAAAACTTCGAACAAAAATGGAATGCATCAAAAGATTTTAATCCAGATAAGCCACCTTTATCTGCTACATTGGTAAAAATTATCAATACCAACCCAATTGATTTTGTATTAGCTCAATCTACATCTAGATAGTAAGTAAGATTTAATAACTTTATTTGCATTTCAATGATTTGATCAGTAGATAATTGTAAAAAATAATAATAATAATAATAACATTTATATTTCTAGTTACGGGTCAATGTTGCGCATACAGAAACGTTACAATTTTGGTTTCCATGAAACTGAAAGCGTTGACAGTGCGCTTGTTAATGGAAAGATAGTTGAGTTTTCGTCATATCCTGGATCCATTTATTCTCAAGACGACTTTTATAAGATCACCAAGAAAGGTTCTGTGTCGGAGACTATTGTTATAGGGACAGAATTACAAAATAACAACAGACAACTCTGGGAAAAAATTATGAAGACCGATCAAGTATTTAAACATTCACAGTGATTAATTATACAAATATACAAAGTAAAATTGTTGAATACAAAATTGTATTTTAAACAGGTCCTGTTGGGTGCTAGAACCATGGCGGCCAATCGTTTAGCGAGTAACAGTAAGAAATGGTACGAGGTGTTTTCAAGAAACAATAGCGGCACCGGAAACAAACAGTGGCTGATCATCAGCACAAATAGCACATCAATCGCATTTGGAGTCATTGAACAAATGCCCGGCATTGTTAGCTACGAAGAACTTTCCAAAACACTTTTGTCCAACGGTTATTGGGTCAGCAACAGTAGTCCGTGTCTCAAGGTCAGTTGTTTAAATATTGCCCTCGCGCAATTAGTTCGTACACTATGGACTATGGTGTATGTATTTTCTAGGTTTCATGCTAGCGCGATCGGTTAAAAATGTACGCTATTCCCTCGATATACATTTCCAAAGAAGATTCGGCAAGGTACGCGTACATTTAGACATCAAGACGAATGTCCACTACCCACAGCCAAAAAAATATCCCAAATATATTGCATCTGCTGGTTAATCATTTCGCCATAGTCACACTAAATGAGACACGTAAATAATATTATACAGCCTTAAAATACCTAGGTATAACGTATACAATCAGGCTACTGTAACTGTGATTTTAACTTCCCAAAGGTCAACAGTCGACAAACATCAAAAAAACAATTGATTTAAAAATATTCCGTTTTCGTTAAAAATACATAATAAAATATATACTGATTATTAATAATGTATACTATTAGGTACAATAGGTAAATACAACATGATTATTTATATTTTTAAAAACTATCAAGTTGAAAAATTTTACATACATTTCTTGCTGTCAACATTTCAATGTCTATGTACATTTTAGATTGAAATAAAAGTTAAAAAGTATCAAGACGTCAAACGTCTACTTATATAGAACCGACTTCTATCTACCACATATTCGATGATGCTAAACTCCTGTGACCCGTTGAAAAACCTTAAATATATGAGACCTCGTGCTTATATAATTGGTACAATATAGGTACTTGATGTATTTTATATAAACGCCATAAGCGATAAATGTTTTTTTGAAAAAAATTGTCTCTTGTGTGGTTCGCAGGAAACTTTTTACATATCAAGCGGTGACGAACGGGACGCTGCAGATCACCCGGTGGCGATCATACTGCGCAACGGGCAGCGAAATGTTACCGATATTGGAACGCTTGTGGACCTGATGCGAGGCACAGAGATGTCGCTGATCGGCCGAACCGACCTGCTGGGCGTCAAAACCAACGCCATGTTCCGCCGGTTCGCCAACCAGTCGTTTGTGGAACAGCTGACCGCGGCCAACCGGCTTCAGTCGGTCGACATGACGGCGCCACTGAAAGACGACCGGACAACAATCGTTACGAACCGGCTACCTTCATCCGCTGTGTCCGACGACAAATTGAACACGGACAAGTGTTTCACCGGGCTCGTGGACCTGAAGGTAACTTCGGCTAACATGAACGGTTACTACATGGCCTCGGGCCCACCGTTCACCGAGGACCGCGCTGAGGTCGAACCATTCCGGTGGTCCGAGAGCCCGATCAGGCACTTGCCGCATTACGGRCATCCGGATGTCTGGGACTTCGAGGTGGAGGCCGTCGTTTGGGTTTGGAAATGACGACCTGACATCTTATATGCATATTACAATTCTGTAGTGTTATTATACTTCCCACTAGACAGTACCTATATAAAGTACTACGGARTATATCAACGGAACATCATGTACGACCCTTAAAAAGTTAAAACTACGTATAGATAATTTTCACGAAGCACGTATCGATTAGATATCCCAGTGCAGATGACTTATTACAATTAGAAATTTATGTCTCACCTACAAAACAAATTACACAAACTCGAGGTTTTGTTTTAAATCCAATTCTCCTACTTAACCTAATTACTACGTAATATATGTGATATCTACTGCCTATAAACTATGGACGATAATAGTAATATATAATCTAGAGATGAATTGTGATTATGATTATGAGTTAAATCAAATTATCACACTCGTATCTCGTTTATAGTATTATAATATTGTTGCAGCGAAACGAATATCAACATATTCGATGTTATAGTATTTTATCTAATCACACGATATTTTATTCGCTACTACTTAAATATTACAAACTTTTTTTTCCAAATCACTACAATTATTACCATTTTTTTTATTTTTATTTTTTATTTTTAGCACTTTTATAGACTATTTTCTGTATTTCCTATTTCTCAATATTAACTTATATTATGTAATTTTTATTTTAAATATACGATGCAATGATGCAAATGTTCTTGTTTTGTAACATGCAATGTGATGTAATTTTTAAATAAAGATTATTTTAAATCGAATTTAACGGTGTTTAATTTATTATTTTTCACCGTCTTAATAGTCTGAGAAATATACAATAAATAATCACATCAGTAGGTACATTATATTAAATTGAAAACCATTTACGACTAATCTTAACATAATAAAATCAACATATTATTATGAGTTGTAAACGACAATGATAGTTAAATATTGATAACATTAATTACAAAAGATTTATTATAGTTATTACTTATTAGTTTATTACCTTCCTAATTATTAGTTATCGATTTAAATCGACTTAATAGTTTAATTGCACTCTTTTACGCTAAAAAAGTCAATAATTATATTTTATTCAACATAAATAATTGTATAAATATCAACAATAAGCAAGGATGTATTTTCTAAAAATGTATATTGTTAATTCTTAGCGAGATGATGAATGTATAATTTTACAATTCTAATTCTTCACAACATTGTACACCAAAATACCATACACTATTTTCAATCAACATGTCTGATTTTTTATGTATTCTAATCGTCAAAGACTTCTATCAAGTTTAACAAAAGATTTAAAAGAATGACTACATTTCACTTTCAACTTTGATCAGTGACGTAGCTATCATAGGGCAAAGTGGGGTAGTGCACTTACAATATTAGGTAAATATTTTGAATTTTCAAAAGATAATATAAATTAATCCAGTTTAGGGGTTCGGCTAATTAATTTACTCCTCCAGGGCCCTTACCCATCTATGTCACTGACCCTGACCTTCTCATATTATAACACCCAAAATGAAAAAATTACTTATGTTTACATGTAAGRTAAAATTGATATTGTAACATGTAAAAAACAAAGGATTATAATGCAGTTATCGTGATAAGTACTCAACTGACGGAAATTTATTTTATATTGTTTTAATTAAAAAAATAATAAATGAAACATTAAATACATTATATATTTAAATATATGTATAAATCTATATGTATTTAAGTAATTATAATATTATTGTTAGTTTACAAGAACCTTAATATGTATGCGGTTTTGTCCTGTATTTTATCTAAAATGTGTGGTTTTTAGATTCAACGAAAATCGTAGGTATGATTAGAGAGTCAAGTGTATGTGCATATATATACCTGCATAAGTGGTCGCCGACACGGCCCACAGGTCTATACTGAATTTTACGTTATCCTATAAGTAATTACTAATTATTAATAATAATCTATAAGAATATTAAAATGTGTGATATGTGTTTCTCTGTATTTATTAATCACTGCTTAATGTATATGTACCTATTCCATCACGAGCAAACAATGAAACTATATAACTATGAAAAAAAATAAATATGGATTAATAATTCATAAGGAACCTTAAAACATACGTACGAATAAATTGAATTTTTATTTTATTATAGTTAGTGTATGTAGTATGTGCATGAAATAGATAGACCCGAGGGACCATTTGTAAACACTAATACAAAAAACCCGTAATAAATACCCCTAAAATTGTTCAAGTAGGCAACTAAATATGTTATACCTTATAATAGTTTAATCTAAATTGTGATAGTGTAGGCATCCGCACTTGATGGTTTATAGATAATATCAAGCAAACAAAAAATGCATCTGCATGGATACAAATAAGACACTAAGAAGCAGGTGCGTACTCAATGGGGGGGGAGAGGTCGTGGGGTTTGAACCTCCCCCATGACCTCACTAACCTATGTAGTCTTGTGCGTTCGTGCTTAAGGGAGAGGTTTCCACAGTGAGACACGGGACACAGTGATCCATTTATATTTATAAGTCGACTAATTTAATATTTAACCATCAGATGGAGAATCCAGAAGATTCATAAAATCATAATAAACATAATGGTYAACTATTAGTCRCGGATATAGATACTAGTATCTATATCCGTGCTATTAGTAAGTTCGGGTCAAAAATGATACTATCATCTTATCATAATATTGTTATTTTTTGTWATCAAAACGTGAAAAATGTGAGCTTCCTTTTTTTCAATTTTGGTATCGAATTTTATTCAAAGTTACGTATTTTAAGGTATGTATAAATTAAATTTTTCTTGTGCACAATTTAGTTATATGCACAATTGTTTATCATAAATATTCATACGAGAATAATAAAAAATCTGCAAAATAATAGATCGGTATACAGTGAGACAGTACATAGTGAGACAAATAAATACTGTTGTCTCGCTGTACCCAACATCAGTTAACTCTAAAACAAGACTGTTGAAATAAATTGTGATGATAATATTGATGCATAATATTAGGTTATGATTTTAATTTAATTTTTAAAACTTAAACATAAAACTTTTGTAATAAACAAAGTGAATAACTACATTTTTTTAATTGTACAAAAACACAATTAATTATTTTAAAATTTAATTGTTTTATCATATTATATAAATGTTGTGAAATGAAAAGTTTAAATATAAAAGATAAACTACAAATTTAAAAGGTTTTATATTATGTACCATAGTGCCCCGTGACGTGTCTCATTGTGTACAAGGCTGGCTCACAGTGAGACACTATGACATTTAAAAAAAAAATTTCTCTGGGTTGAAATTTCGTTAAATTTTAGAAAGTATTAATATGTTTTTTAATGCTCAATAATATTTAGAATAAAACCATAAYGCTGTTGAAGGATTATCACTTAAAACMAAAACAATATTTAAAAAGTAATTTTTAGTGTCTCACTAAAACTGTGGCCACCCCTCCCCTATATATAATATAACTCACAGGAGCAATTTTCTAAAAAAAATTTTTTTWAAGGGAAAAAATAAACAAAATATATCTGTTTTAAATCGTATGTCAACATACAACAATTGCATGCATTATCTGTTAAGAACTGTAAGATTAGATAGGTAAGTATAAGAATATTTTTAAAAAGAAGGTGACAAAGTCCCAGTGATAAAAAACAAAATGTTCAACCCCCCTCCCCATTGAAAACTCCTGCATGAGTACGCCTCTGCTAAGAAGTAAAGATATAAATGAAAATCGTTTATAATAAACGAGACGATGAAAGTTAATTATAGTGGAGTGGACCGGTGGGAAAGTATAAATGATCAGGTTGGTCTGATGCAATGATCACACTGCAGGAGCATACACAAAATCTTTGAAACCAAACTATTATAAATTACAATACGGAAATCCGATGATTGTAAAACAACAGGCAGAGTTGGAGAGCAATGATCAACTAGATGATTTAGACGGCCTCTCACACAATTGGCATGAAATTTCTGGTAACTAGTGTAATTACGCATAGGACTAGCTCTGACTGACACTGACTAAATGATCTGGGCGTCGGGTGACCTCTCACACAACTCACTTGCTGGTGGGTTTGCGGGCTTACATTAAGTACGTAAAATACTTGGCACCGGTTTCTATCATAGACAATAAGCAATGGATGACAAATGATAGCTGCTTGCCAAATATATATTTATATAACACCAATAGTGACACTATATGTTTATGCCAAACCTGCGTAACAATATTGTATAATAATAATTAATAAATGACCTACGAGCGATATCGTTTTGGACAGATATTCTGCAACTATATGAGAACAAAAAATCAATGTAACAAAACAAYCGTGGTACTTAATATATACGTATATGCTGCATTAAGAATAAGAATGGTAACGTAAAGCGTACGTCCACAATGTGATATGAACGAAAAACTAACAAAGGTACGACGATAAGTGCATACGCTGCGAAATCGA